GTGTGCACAATGAAAAGATTTTGCCTCATTTTTCTAGGACTTTGATGGACTGGTATTTTGAACCAGTCAGGCTGTGATAGCTCAAGTTGCTTAGTAACCAGCTGAGGACCATCATCAGAGTGGAACCAAGAGAAAATACATTCCTTAATAAAGAGAGCAACAGTGGAGGAACCAGAAACTCTAGGGTCACATCTTTTGAGGATATGACTCACATGCCTTTTGTTAAACTACTCAAATCCTCCACCTGTAAAATGGGCTTGACATTTGACAGTGGGTATCTATGGCACATATTTTGTGAAATTAATAAATAATCCAGAAAACAGTTCCAATCTTTCATAATAAAAGCACTTGGAAAAAATGTAGGATTTATAATAATTCTGGCTTAGCAGGAAGAAAATGTTAAAAAGCTGGATAATTTCAAATACAAGTTTCTAATATTTAAAGACAAACATAGCAATGTACTTTTTGCCTACTTTATAACTGAGGTAACTTTATATAATTACCTCAAGGACAGAAAACTGAGAAAAATATATCATGGTATTAAAAATATTCTGAGCTTTGATGTCTGTTATTAATTCACATGTGTGTTGATATACTTAGGACTACTTGGGTTAATCTTTCTTGGAGTAGTCTGTGAATTCTGGAAGAAGGAAGTCAAGATACAAGACAAGGCCATTAATTTGGTGAAGAATCTGATAAACAGAAGATTATAGTATCTTTGGCTGGGTTGCACTCACATTCCTTGGTCCTGATGTGGAATGTGGGCTCAATTGAAGCAACATACCTTAATTAGGGTCCAGGTCTTCCACCCCACACCTACAACCTGTGCATTTATTTTTTCTTGTCATTACCATGTGCAGGCCTTGCAATTCATCCATATTCTTGTATTCTTCTTGCTAACTCCAGATTCAATGAACTCTTCACAGCTGCAAACACCAGCACAGAAGCTTCTGCCTTCAAAGTCTTTTTCACAGTTGTTTTGGGTGATTAAAATAAAACTCTGAAAATCCCTCAGTCTAGTACAATTTTGCAAAATAGACTGTTTAATTTTTCAGGCCTGTAGAAATCATAAAGTTCTCAAGGTATCATCAGAAAAATGAATTCAAATCACTTTTGTCTGCCCTCTTTCTGGCTCTCATACTAATGATGAAAGCATCCTAGAGGCCAGAGTAGAGCCCCTATTGCCTAACAAAATACACGTGTTTCCTTAGAAGTGATTTAAATCTGGGTTTAGAAGTAAAATAGACCATAGTGTCCATTAGCTTGCATTGTAACATTCTCTGATGTTTAGGGAATCCCACCACTTTACTTTCTCTGCTCCTTCTGCTCATGATAAGATCATGCATTAATCACACGTGCAAAAGTATGATTACTAAATGAGGCAAAAAAGCATGCTTTTTAAAATGGAAGTATGCCTTGAAACTTTCTTAAGGGGACACATTTTGATTGTCTTAGATTAAACATATTTCTAAATAGATGTTCACCTAATATAAGAGGAAAACTTCAAAGCCATCATCCTAGAAAAAGTAACCACCTTACACTGAAAACTCCCTAGGGTTACTGGGCCATTTACGCTGTATCTCTGGGAATTAGGGAACTCATTGTATGGAACATATGATTGATTGGCTGAATCTGATCCACCAGCACTCTGATAGACTTTCATTTAATCACTAGTCCTGAAGCTGCAGCTGAAAATTATAGCCCTCTGAAGTGACACAGAAAACCAAGTCTCTGCACTTACTATGGAAGATGAAAGAAGGCATCATACAGAGGATTGATTAGAGGACAGTGCTATGGCAAGCCCTCAAAACATCAGGGTGTTTCAAAATGCTGACCTGACCTGCATTAGTTTTTTTTTTTTTTTTCTAAATATAGTAAATGCTGGAAATTCCACCCAGTTTCTCTGCAAAGCCCATTTGGGTGCTTCTATGTTGCAAGTGATTCCCAAAACCCAATAAATCCAATGTCACAGGTACTTTGTAGATTTGCTCTTTTCTAAAAAGAGCAAAACAATTGTCCCTTCCACTTTCATTCTGGTTTGTTCAGGAGTTTCCCAATTTTATTAGGGGAAATCTCTAGTCGTAGTAAACCCCTCAGCCTTAAGCAAACATAGAACAACATTCTTACAAATAATGCCAGCTGTAAGGACTGCTGCAGGATCACCAATCACTGTAAATAGGACAAGACTCGGGCTCATTTGATTTAGGAAAAAAAAAAAAAAACAACAACAACAACAAAAAAACAAGTCCTAAAGTGATTTTCTGGTCAACCCCAATCCTGCTGCCATTCATGATAAGTTCTTTCTTCTCAGATTCCATGGCGGCATTTATTTGTGAGGCAAGAATCCCTTTGCAGCGCTGATGAAAGCTGTGGAAACTCTCCCTAGAAAAAGCTACAATATACATAAGCAAGTGTACTAATCAAAAAGTTACAACTTAAGAAATTTTCACAAACTGAACACTCCCATTACAATAGCACTCAGGTTAAAATGAAAGCTTATCAGCGTTATCAGGACCTCTGTTTCCCTTTCAGTTACTAACCCACCACAAGTAAATGCTACTTCAGCTTCTACTACCTCATGTTAGTTGTATCTACTTTGATTTTCATATAAATGAAATCATACATTATCCCCTGGTTTACATTTGGGTTTTTAATGAATTTTTTTGTAGTACTGGGGATTGAACACAGGACCTTCACAAGACAACCACACCCACCTCCCTTTTTTTTCATTTCCAGAGTGTCATTAAATCACTAAATTGCCCAGGCTGTACTTGAATTTACAATTGTTCTGCCTTAACTTCTCAGAGAGTTGGGATTGCAGGACTATGCCATCAGGCCCAGTTCTGTTTGCCTTCTTAAATTCAGCATTGGCTTCTGCAGATAGGTAGTCACATTACTGTGTGGAGTTGCAGTTCATTAATCCCCATGCATATTATATTGTATGACTATACCACATTATATGTATCCAGTCTTTTATTAATGTACATTTAGGGGCATTTTTAAAATTTGGGCAATTGTGTCTAGTATCACTATAAAAATTTTCATGCATGTCTTTAAGTGAATAAATATATACACTTCTCTTAGATATACACCATGTACATACAAATCAAGTAGAATGTATTCAGAATATATATATATATATATATGTCTATGTTTATATATATATATAAATGTTCTGACTTGTTTAATTTCTTTTTATATTTACATACAGTAAAATTCATTTTCTCTAACAGCTAATGATGTAGTATGTACTTCCAAGTCTCTTTGATATCTTCAAATGCAGAAATTATTTCATGTACTGCATCCAGAGTTTTAGTTGCCATTAATGGTAAGATAAGGTAAAGTGTGTATATTCCATCTCAGCCAGATCTAGAAGTCCTCAATGTCTTTGAGTTGAATTTTAAATATATTCCTCAGAGAATGTGCTTTCTGTTGGTCTCATAGATAGCAAAGCAAGTTAACAGCTCCGAGACATCAGATTATATGAATGAATCTCAATGATACCTCATGTCCTTTGTATCAAATCACTTGTTTTGTAGAGAGCTTACTATTTTATAGGATAAGCTCCTACAAAACACAAGTGGGCAAATAAAACTTGTGTAATTTAATGGAAAATTCACTCTACATCTGTTTCCTGACTTTCTATTTTGCTTCCAAGGGGATAGGTTCACTCATTTCCCTTGGGTTATGATATTTTAAGCTGTGCTTATACAAAGTAACTGGGTCTGCCTGAGTACTTTCTTCCTCTTCCACAGTTTACTGGAATAACTTCAAGTTTGCTTCAACCGAATAGTTCCCAAAGTAAGGAAAGAAATAGGCTTTTCTTAAAGGATATGTACATCCTTAAAGTGGACATAGGCTGGCTTAACAACAGAATTGATAGTCACGGGTATAATGACTTGCTGTGTAAACATATTTGTCAAACTGACCCTGGTATCAAAACATACTTGGGTCATAGCCAGGGTTTACATTTTAAGATGCCCAAGTCTTGACCTTCATGATCACTTACCAGATGTAATCATTTGAACCAATACATAATCTTCTAGAAGATTACAGGTGTTTTGAATGGCTTTGTTAGTGGATTCAGGGCTTTAGAACAAACTGTACCATTCAAAATGTGCCCTGTATGCCCTGTAGTGTTAGCATCACATGGGAGATTTTTAGAGATCCTGATGCTTAGTCAATTCCCTGTGAATCACACTGCTGGAATTTGGTATAGGAATCCTGTTTCCTGACAAACTTGTCAAAGGATTCTTATGCATTCTGAAGTTTAAGAACCACTGACTAGTAACTTGTACTTGCCAGAAACTGAAGTAAAAGATAGGGAAGAGGAAATGAGATAGTTTTAAGTTTCTACTGGGTGTTGATTGATTACCCTTTTAAAAGTAAAACTATGAAGAAGCATGTGGGCAACTGTAAGAAGCACGTAAAAGAAAGACCTAAGATGACTTTAGTAACAGCAATGAATAAGTCTGCCAGCTTTCAAAGAATGTGTGATCATAGTGGATAAAATAATACTATGAAATGGAGGTAAAAACAGCACTGTTTTTGAAATAGTTTAGAGGAAATGCAACAAAATAATTTTTTTGAGATACATCAGTGTCTTTATTGATAACTAGGTCATGATTTGAGAAATAAGTAAGGGTTAAATAAGTAGTGCAATGATTTGGAGGAATAAAAGCTCCAGCCCAGCCACCCACAGTCCCACCGGCCTATAGCTACTGAGCTCTGAGCACAATTTAACTATGAGCTCTTGACCAGTAGTCTGAGGGTCTTGGGGCCCCCAGCCTTCCTGGCTGGAGACAGAGTCCTGGTCCTGGGGGCCCCAGCCTTGGAAGCAGTGGCGGCTTTGGGGGCAGCAGTGGCTTTGGGTCCAGGCCCTGGGACGGCCTTCACTGCGGGTTTTGTACCCTTCAGGGAGGCAGCACGTTTTTCAGCCTTGGAGGCTGCAGTTGAAGTTTTCCCAGGGGCTCCTGTGTCTTCTTGCCTGCTCCTGCTGCCTAGGACCTTGGGCTTCCTGCCAAGCTTGTGAACAGTTGAGGAAGCCCCAGCTGACTTTGGGGGGGGGTGTCCTTCTTGGCTACAACCTGCTGTGGCCCAGTGCCTTTCGCCTTGCAGCCTCCCTGAGGGGCTGTCTCTAGGGCTTTGGCTTGTTTGCGGGGAGCCCTTGCTTCACATGGTTCTGCAATCTTTTTCTTGCTGGAGCCAGCAGGCCCTGTCCGAGTACTTTTCCTACTGCACTGCAGCTTCTTCTGACGCTTGGGGACAAGCTTGAAGCTGCCAGTGGCACCCCTGGCCTTGGAGTTGATGGGCCTGGCAAGGAGGCCACAGCGCATGCCTGTGGCAAGGGCCTGCTTCAGTAGGTACGTGAAGCAGGTGACATCGACTGTGGGGTACTTGTGCAGGATGTAGAGCTTGATGACTGCCACTGAGGTGCCCCGGCGCTGTTCCCCTGCCTGGAGGGCCTCCAGCACCATGCGCAGCACTGTGGGGTGGCGACAGGTCACCATGACCCTGTTTGAGGTCGGGCCTGGCTTTCCATACTCAGGGGGCTCTGCTGGCCCTGCTGTGGAAGAGGAGGAAGAGGAAGAGGAGGAAGAAGAGTAATTGGTGATGCTCCCAGGAGCCATCTGAAGGACACTTATAAATGACCACCTCCGCTGTTCACAACAAAATAATTTTTAAATGAAGAAAACTTTTTAGTTACCTCACAATGTTTTCAAGATAATATTTGAAAAACATGAGGAAGAAAATAAAGCCATTTGTGATGAGTTCCCGCCTAAGATACTGATACTATTTTCTGACTGTAAGTGAGCATATTTTGTAGTAATTCTGATCATAATCTCAGTACTGAGACTGCTTTGAGGATTGTTCAGAATAGCAAGAAAAGAGAAATGGTCTTCTAAATTGATCTTGAACTGGTAAGATGTTGTTAATAAATATTTATTGGGTACTTATTATTTGTGGAATGTGCTCTGTGTGATAAAGTTGACTGACATTAAACAAATTTGGATGTATAAGTTAGCATTATAAAAATGCCCACCAAAACCCATGGAGGCAACAGAAACTGAAGCTTTCCTGCTGTACTCTCATATTCCTCTGTAATATTCCAACCCTTTCTCAAGGTACATTTTCTTACACAAGAAGTTACCACTGCTGATTTAATATCCAGACACAGGATTTTATTATTTCATTATTACATTCAGCCAGGAATTTTCTCTTATTCACCCTTCCCCCTGCTGGTTATAACCAACAGTAAGAATTTTGCAAGCCGATGATCTGAAACCTGAGGTGTAAATGGTGGAACGGAAGTGAGTGAAAGGAGCTTATTATACCGATGGAATTTACTTTTTGGAGAATTGTCTGTTCTTGCTGTTCAAGCTTTAAGGAAAAGATACATATCAGATTGTACTTTTAGCTGTTTTTCCAATTAATTTCACTGGGAAAAAAATTCATTAGAAATGCATTAGTTATTGTATCTTATATCTTGATCTTGGGACTGGAGCCTGGGTACATTGCCAGTTTTAGTCTCCCTGTCTGCCACCCCCTACTGACTTCAATTGCAGCTTACTGAAGAAGAACGGATAATGTTGGCCATTTAACGAGAACTGCAGAGATATCTGACACATTGCACATGCAGCCCCTGGAGGATGGCTAGCTGACTACCCATCTTCATACAACTTGAATCCCAGGCAGATAAGTAGCCTGAGATGAGGCAGAGTGTTGTTTAAAAGGAGAAGATACTGACAGATGGGTTAGTAGAGGACCACCCCTATCCAGGAATCTCTAAGTCAAAATAAGGATGATGAAGTGCTTGGGTGATATTCAAAATGCCTGGAATCCCTTAACTTCTAATGTTCCATCTAGGCCCTATTATTTTCTTATGGTTGGAAAGAAATTACAGTATTTTTAGAAAGAGGAAGGAGCAAATTATTTCATATAAGCAAAAGAGGTTTCCTTTGGTTTTAAAAAGGGTTTGTTCATTTTTCTTTTTCAACAATCCAAGTATAAATCCCAAGTTCTTTCTCAAGGATATTATAACAATCAGTGACCAGCAATGTCTCCAGCTGCTCAAGGATTTATAAAGTCAGTTTGCATGCATTAACATATAGTGAGAGAAGACTCAACTCTGCATGACTTCGACCAAAGTTTTCTAACACAGAACATCTTGAGAAACCCTCAGGCCATCAGAAAAATTCCACATAACCATATAGTTTTACTTAATGTTTCTACTTTTAGTTGACACAAGGATGAAATATGAATATATTTTAAAACAATATAAATGCATTTTCACTTAATCGTGATACTTGCATACATTTGAAAATAGAATTCCACTTACAGGAAGCTCTTTTTATTCAGTTGGAACTTGGACAGGAGAGAGACCAAAAGTCTCTTTCGTATAGCACTTCAACTTTCTGGGTACCCATAATGCAGATTTGAAACCAATGACTTAGGGAATGAATGATATAAAATAAATGAATGATAGCATAAAAGCAAATAATCAGGGAAAAACAAACCTGGACCTATTAGTAGAGCATAGGAAATTAAGCCCCTTTCTTAAGAATGAAATTATAATTATTTTGGTTGAAACGTGAAGTTGTTTTGTGATTTTGTTACTGTTATGAATATCTGTGGTGAATTGAAAAGTGCTTGTTGCTTTGGAGCTAACAAATTTTATTAATAGAGCCATCAGATGAAATGTTTCCTTGATAAGTAAATTTTAGCTGTCAAAATGGTGTTTTAAAAGATGGCCTTATTTTTCAGGGATTCAGGCTATCAGACCGTGTAAATAGTCATGGCTGTGAGATGCAGCATTCCAGGATGGATAGGCAGATCAGATGCTAAGTTAACTGGCCAAGGATGGAAAGCAACTTGACTGCTTCTGTCACACTATCCCTACATGGCATTAATGGAATGACAACCACCCACTAAAGTGAGGGAAACACTCTGTCTAAAGAATGATGTTAGCTCTTAACAGAGTCATCCCACAGCTAAGAGCAGTCTCAGGTCTTGTACTTCTCTAGCTTGTTGTCCAACTTTGAATTCCTACCAAGTATCTCTGGAGAGTTAATGACTGGGGATTTAAGTATCATTAAACAAAATTTTGACCAAAGTATAACCCTGAGTCTTACCTAGGCTCAGCAAACCACAATAGACAATTGCAGGTGAGAAAACATTATTTCTTTTCAGCAAGCCTGTACCTGAAATCTCAATGCAAGTTTTCCATGTAACTGAAAAAGAATCCATAGTTTAGGCCCAAAAAGAGTTTATCCTGCCCCCATACTTAAACCCCCACTTTCAGTATTTTTCACATTAGGAATATGAGGCTAAGTTTAGAACACTCAAGTCACATGTGACAGAAAAGAAAGAAACCAAGGTACTGGGCCCAATTCTGATGCATGGAGGCAAAGGAAACAAACAAACAAAAAAGACATCCATGTATTCGACCTGTAACACACATGGTCACATACTCTATAGAGTCCTAGAATCTGAACACTTCAGATTAGTAATGCTAGGAAAGTCAGAATGGGAAGCTTTTCCTGCTACAGTACCTATGTATCTCAGTCTAGATGTCCGTTGCCCATCTATGCAACTTGGAGGATATATAGATTTGGAAATAACATGGAGGATATACAGATTTGGAAATTTTCACACAATGAAATTTTCAGCCGATTGAATTCTATTCATGACTTTATTGGCAAAAGATGAATACATTGAAACAGTCTTTGACATCCTGAAGCCAAAGAGTAATCAGGCTCATGCTGGCACTTGATGAGTTAAATGAACTGAAATATGAAGTCTGACAAATTTGTTAATGGCATTTCCTTTAAACAAGAGGATCAACAAAATCCATAGGAAGCAAATCATTGCTTTATCTCCTACTGTTGTTATTGACAGAATTATACAGACTTCTTTTTTTACTAAAAGCTAATGCATTTCTTGGTTTTATAAAAACTGAATAAAAGAACAGAATGCATTTCTAAAGAGGTAAGAACATTCTAGAATGATACTTCCCAATAATCTCCACTATCTAATATAGTACCCATTAGCCACACAGGGTTATTGAGTATTTTAAATATGGCAATGGGACTGGGAAATTGAATTTTTACTTTTATTTAATTTTAATTAAATTTAAATAGCTGCATATATCTCTTGATTACCATATTGAATAGCACAGTTCCAGAAAAATTGGCCCTTTCATGAGTGTTATGTATTATTGGAATATAGAATATAAAAGAATATGTAATATACACTGTTCAAAGAAAAGAAAAATAATCCATATACCCCACAACCTGGCTTAAGAGCCTATTATCTAAACCACTGAAATTCTGTAAGCACCATTATGCCATCCCTTTGTATTATATTTTCCACCTGAAATAACCTCCACCTTGAGTTTTATGTTTAACATTGTTTCATTTCATTGTATGCTGTTGAGCAGAATTCGTATGCAGTTATAAACAAGATTATATTTTTCCCTGTTGTACTGAGGTTTTCAAGGGAAAAGATATAATACAAGACACATAATTTATAGGATTATTTTTTAATAGTCACCCAAAGTGTAAAATACAAAATAATGAAGAAAATCTGTGTATAAAATAGAGAGCCGAAGAATCCAGGTGAGGGCCTGGATCCCACAGCACTAAGTCCAGCTAAAGACCTAGAGCCCTTGGCACTGCCCTCCATAAGTCCAGTTGGAGGCCTAGAGCCATAACGTCTCATGCAAGTCTGTACCAAGAATCTGCACTGGAAAAGCCCAAAGGTCTTTGGTGGAAGCTAGAAAGTCTGCACCAGTGGAATGAAGGATCTGTGCTACCAGGCCAAGGGATCTGCACTGGAGCCAGGAAGCGATGCTCAAAAGAAAGAACCAGAGCTCCCCTGAGAAGAACCATAGCCATTTTCAGTGACAGTGAGGACCCAAGCTCCTCCAATGATGAGAAAAGCCCAGTTCATATCAGGAAACCAGCATGACAAGCTTCTCTGGGAGAATCAACAGCCCACCATCTTCCCTTCCAGTTCTCCTTTTATGCTGTTGTCAACAATCCTCAGGTGGGCCTTTCACACCCAGCACCATGCTGATTCAGTTCAGCTGGGTGTTATAAGTTGACCACCAGGTGTTAATCCACCACATCTCCACATGTTTTTGAACATTTTATAAATAGAATTACACTGTAGAGATTCTTTTTTTTTTTTTTTTTGTCTTTTTCCTTTTTTTACTGGTACCAGGGATCGAACTCACGACTGCCTGCTTGCAAGGCAGGTGCTTATGCCACTGAGCTAAATCCCCAGCCTCTTGTAGAGATTCTTTGGTGAGAACACATAATTTTTGCTTTACAAGATAGTACCAAATTGTTTCCTAAATTGTACTAGTTTATACACCCACCAATAATTCAATAGGTGTTCGCTTTTCCACATTCTGGGAATAATTCTTGGTAGAATTTGTAATTTTTGTTTATCTAGTACACATAAAATATCATCCTATTATATCCTTAAATAGCATTCCAAGATCATTTATAGGGTTAGGGATAATTTAATTCGTACCTCTCTTTTTATTCAAGTACCTGCTTACTTTCCTTTTTCCCTTGATTTGTGAAAAATTTTTATTCACAGTAGTTCTCAGTAGATTCCCTTATCTACCAGAGTTATGTTTCAAGTCCTCCAG